GGGTTTAGGGTTTAAGTTTTTAGGGCGTAGCGGTTTTGGGGTACAGGGTTTACGATTACTTATGACGTCAGCCAAACCCCTAGCACCAGTACCATTTACTGTCTACCCGAGACCACAAGAATCATTAGTTACCACTTTTCCGTACTATGGCAACTTAAGCAACCACACACATTAGTTTAAATGGACCCAGCTGCCGTGCCGCCCGTGCTGCCATTGCGCCTGTGCGAGCTGTACCGATTACGGGCTTGAGGGTTCAAACCCTGAACCCTAAACGAGGGCTGAAGGCCTGTACGGTCTCGATTCCGGGCTTTGGCGGTTCAGGGCTGAGGGTGTTTAGGCTGACCGAGGTCAGTATGCATTGCATTGAGTTCTGTTGCCGTGCCCTTCATGTCTGCCACTCGGATGCAATGAGGGTTGAAGGTTTAGGTGTTAAGGGGATAAGGGTTTGTAGCTTGGGGCTTAGGGTTTGTTGCTTTGGGTTGAGGGTTTAGGCGATGGAAGTTTCACACTCCTCGAGCCCGGCCCATCATTGAAACTCCGAAACCTACCCTTAACCCTAAGCCCCTCAAGCCCTAAAGCCCACAGCTGGCAAAACACTTCTACATCCGATTGAGCCTATAATAAACCCCGACACGTCCTTACCACGGTTTGGGGTTTAGGGTTTAGGCGATGGCCCTATGAACTCGCAAATCATGATCTAGCAAGCCTTTGCCCCTGACGGCTTAGGCTTCCTGGCCGAGGGTGTAGGGTGAATAGCAACGGACAACATCTGAGTGCTCAAAACGACCTAATGGGATTCAGATGCACTCTGGGTAGGCAAATGTATCTTCAAGGCAGAGGGACTAATATAGGGGCCTTAATAGTCAGAATAGGGTTCTGGTGCCCATTGTACTATAATTATACTAAGGAATCCCCAAAATCATGTAGGTAATTATTTAGGCCCCTACATTAGAATCTACATGCTGCACAAACATGCAGTTCCACCAAAAGCAGACTTACAGGTCCAGCTCCGCAGGGCAACTGAAGATCAGATTTTGGGATTTTTATTTGCTGCGGGGGGGATTATAGCAGTACCTTCGAAAGTTGCAGGTTACTGACTGTACCCCTAAGCAGGCTTCACGGCATTGGGGAGCAGCATGTTTCAATTCACCCTAGGATTTTGCACTCGCCGTGCCCCTAGCCCAACTCCCTAAGCCGACGGGTCTAAGTACCCAAAATCATCTACTTTCCAAAATTCGAACCTAACAAATACTTTCTCAGACCCAAGTACCCAATTATCGAGTACCCCGGGCCCTTAAGGTAAACCCAATAAGCTGCACCCCATCGCACCTTTGTTTCGCTTTGTTCTGCCTGGCTACACCTTGCGTCACCTGTCCCACGCACACGTCGTTGCCATGCTATTGTGTAGAGCCGGATTCAATAGAGTACTTGATGCACACACAAACTCACCAAAAACACACGCACACACAAACACACAAGGCCTCTGCCCCTCTGCATCCTAAACCCACCTAATGTAGGGGCCTTAATAATTAGAACAGGGTTTGGGGGTATATTATACTAATCATCATAATAAGGAACCCTCAAAACCCTATTCTAATTACTAGGGCTCCTACATTATCTAGGAATCGAAGCCTCCGAAACCCCGAATTCTCCAGAAATGCGGCCGCGCAACTTTCGTGAACCAGTGGGCGTCTGGCTCGAACCATCTCCCTGGCTCCGGGCACCTCTGGTCGCAGCATATGGGTGCTTCCGGTTTAGGGTGGAGTGTTTAGGACTTAGGTTTCAGGGTTCAGGGTTTAGTGTTTAGGACTTAGGTTTCAGGGTTCAGGGTTTAGGGTTCAATACTTAGACTTGTAGTTGGGAGCATGCGATACTGTAAGTCTATCGGGAGTAGAAGAGGGGAAAAAACACAATCAACTGTTCAGGTCTCTGTACTGCTGACCCCCAAAGCGAAATCCGATCCTAAACCCCGACCTACCTAAACCAATCCTAAACCCAAATCTCAAAACCTGACCTACACGACTTCGCTGCAGAAAGCGACTGCAAAGCCCCCTATCTTTATGAGGCTTTGAAACACGATTCTGCTACTCCAAGGAAGACTCGTTCATGAAGGGGAACTCAAACATGAGACCCTAACCCACCATGGCTTCCCAACATCTGCCCCCACCCGACGCATGAGCGCATTCTAGAGCCCGTACGAGTCTGTTTCCCTTCAAATGAACCTCACGACGCAACACTCCAAATCAAACTTTTATGTTTACACTCCACACCGATGCAAAAACCAAAGCCCTACGTAAACTTTACGTGGGCCTATTTCCTAAACCTCCACGACCGAAAACTTGTGTAACCAGATCCGGCGAACCCTAGCACGCTAACCTGAATCCTACACCGATTTCCCCCCCCCCCCCCAAACGTAAGCCCTAATTCAACCCTAAACCCCTGTTATACACCCTAATCCCCCTAAATGCCCGAAAAACCCAAAGCAGAGCAAATCCACAACCGCCTTGAGAGCTGGGTCCCAACTCTTCGGCGCTGATCCGCGGCCCAAAAGAGGGAAGGCCATCCTCGGGGGTTTATAGGGCTTAGGGCTTATA